GTAATCATTTGAACTCAGTCTGAATCTGCCCTGATGTGCTTTGATGTAAACCTTCCTAAAGCAAGCAAAATTGAAGCGTACATTTTCTAGTTCAGTGTTGTGCCCTTAGCTGAGCTCACATGTTAAACAGGTAGTAATTTTGAACTTGGAGGCTTCTTCCATTCCCGTTGTTTTTGGTAATTATGTCTTTCTTTCAGCAAATATTTACTAAGTGTTTCTGCTTGCCTGATTCTGTTGTAGGTGGGCACTGGAGAAAACAATGCTGAGTGAGACTTAGACCCCACCCTCAGTTTGCTTAATATGTAATAATATTTAAAGTATCCTCCTTTACAAAAAACTCACCTTTACAAAAAATACGGAAATGAATGAGATATCTCTATGCATTTACTTGGAAACGTGTCCATGATATACAGTTCATTTAGAAAGGATATCACAGCTCCTAAGATGTGCATGAGTGCATTTTTTGTAAACAAATAAATAAAATGCACAGAGATATGTCTGTGTGAATTATATAAAAAGAAAGAATAATTTCTGACACTGTTCATAGTGACTGTCCCTAGAGGTGGGCTTGCATAGACAGAAAGGAGAACTTTCATTCTGTGCATTTGTCTAATGATAAGATTATGAGTGATTTTTACCTTTTAAAATATGTCTTATCATTTTTTAATATGGAAAAATTTAGAGGGTATACAGAAGAATTTTCCTGGAGACTGTTTCTCACAGATTTTAAGTGAAAAACAGTATTAGAGTGATTTTGGTTTTCTAATGTATGTACATTTTCTCTATAATATGACTTTGAAAATTTGACAATAAACAAGTTTTTACTAAAGCATTCCTTCTGCCCTGTTTTCAAACAAGAAAAAAACAAACACAAACAAACGAAAACTAAAGCAAGGTAAGAATCCTAATTAAAGGCGGGGGTTGGTGATGGTGAGGATGTGTAAATAGGGAAGCAGCTATGGTCCAAATGTTTTTTTCCTGATGTAATTAATTCTGTTTATTTGCATAATTATAATGCTAATAATCATGGTAATAACAATGACAGATAACATTTACTGAGAGCTTCTAAGTACTACTTTACATGTGTGCATTTAGTTAATCTTCTGAGGCAGGCGCTATTGTTATCCCTATTTTAAAGAAGAGGCTCTGAAACATCAGATACCTCGCCTAAGGTTACAGAATTCAGTGGCGGAGCTGTCCTGTACCTACACTGCCCCTCTCCAGAGCCTGTACCCTAAACGCTGTGCTACCTCCAAGCACCAATTGTGAGCTTCTACATACCAGTCCAGCTGTTAATAGGGGTTTTTATTTTTTCTGCTTTAAAGAAAAAGAGATTATTAATTTTAGGTCAGGATTCTGACCGTCCTAGTACACAACTGAATTTTTCAACCCATCAGGGATTGTGAAAGAGCTTTTGTGATTTCTGCATCTCAGAAATGAACAGATGTCAGTGATAAAATTGTAGCTAACATGTTGTTGGTTGCATTCTGTTTTGTTTCTCTGGGCAGGCGGCTTGGCGTGGTGGAAAAATTGTGGGCTTTGGCTTCAGTTAGAGTTGAGTTTTAATTCTGGCTTCACCATTTTCTATCTGCTAACTTTGTTTTGTTTCTTCACTTGTTAAGTAAAACTGGTAATATGGCCCTTCAGGGTGATTGTGACAATGACATGAAATAATGTAGGCAAAAGACCTTTCAAGTGTAGTCAGGGACGTAGTAAAATCTTAATAAATATTAAGTTACTTCTTCAAGTAGTTGTCTCAAGATAAAATGAAGAAACAGAATGTACCTATTTTTCTATTATCAACGGAAGGTACAACTGCGACTGGAGAATGAATATTCTGCAAAGAAGTATTAATATTTTCAGATGCCTGATTAATTCAGTACATTTTTATATGCAACCCCAAATAATTTGTGGCAATTAATAAATGCTTAATGATTCTTGTATTTCAAATCACAGTGATGTAAAATATTGTAATCAATTATCTTGTAAACATACGTTTTGAAATTTGAAATTCATGACCTGGTGTAATAGGAACAGTTTATCACAAGTCAAACTAAACTCTTGCCGCATTCTTTGATTAGTTTTTTTTCATATGAGCTTTCATCACTTTGATCTTTTAGATGTTTTCACAGTTTTAATAATTTTGTGATGAATTTTTTAATCATTTTGTCTAATCTTTTTCTTTTTTCCCTTCAGGTAATTGAAAAAAAATGTGATGCATTTTCTTCTGTTGTTTATACAGAAAACTATCTGAGTGTGTTTTTTATTAGAGTGATTGTAGACCTGGCCTGTGGTGCCGATTAGTATTTTGGGTGGTTTGGAATCACCACCATGCCTCCTCAAGATGGGTAGCAGAGAGCAACTAGAGTATGAGTAGATTATGAACTTTCTATTTGATCTGGGATTTTAATTTACTTAAAATCATCTTTTCAGTTTAGTAAATAACAGTATAGTAATTGAGCATCTTCTGTTGTTTTTTTACTAGATTAGCTCAGTTCCACTACCTAAGATAAAAGATACTAGGTTTAAGGAAATCTGAGAATGATGAAACATTTAAGGACTTCCCTTTCTTGGGCTATTTTTATTTTATTTTGAAATGAAATATATATATATATATATATATATATATATATATATATATGAAAACTATGTTTTTTAAAAAAAACACAATTTGATCCTCTTCCTCACTGAGTTTAATTTATTTTTAAAATAAATTATTTAAAAAAATTATTTTCCTTATAGATGCTTCTCTTACTATATTATCCCAGCACAATAATGGAAATGACATATGTTCACTATTAGTACACTTACTTCTTTTATTCTGTAACCTAATGTATATTGTCAATTAAATCGATGAGGAAATCATTACTGTTTCTTTCAGAGGAACTGTAATCAAATTCTCCCACACCTCCCAAGCCTAATTGCAGCCCACATTCTGTGTACTTGGCTGTCCAGACCCCCATCTGGAGTCCAGAAGACTTTCTCTTGTGATGACCTAATATATTTGTACTTCCTGAGTATCATAGATATCAGTGATCGTATCTGGAATAATAAAACAAATTGATCCCTAAACACAGCAAGTTGAAAATGCTCCTCAAATATCTATTCAAAGCTAATTGATAGCAAATAACATACCTTCATATTTGACTTACTTTTGAAGCTGAAAAGTTTATTCAATTCAGTATACAAGGGACTTTACCTCTCTTTGTTACATAAACCTCATAACATATGTATGTTAAGACTACGGTGGGGACTCTTTGATAATGTATATAAAGTGCATGCGTGGGGTACCTATTACATTGCAGATAGCCAACAAGAGGCAACCACTGTTTGTATTCTCTAATAATGACTGGAACAAATGCCATTCGTATATGCTTCCTGCTGAAAATGCTCATTTGTATACTGCTTATATTCACTACTATTCTTGCTTCCCTAAATCTTTACTCCTGGAAATAAATAATGCCAGCAGAAACTAAAGGTGACCGTTTTTCTTCTCTCGAATGAAAAACTTAATGTTGACTGCTGTTGTTAAAAACAAGGTATCTTTGTTATATTTACAAAGCAGATCTTGGGGAAAAGGGATTTAAAAAAAAGTCTCTGTAAATCGTCTTAGCTAGTATTTGATATCCTGCGTATTTGAAAAATCTTTATTCTTTGTCACCATTAATGGGTGGTTTGGCTGGAGATAGAATTGTGCTTAGAAAATAATTTTCCTGTATTTTAAAGATATTTCAAAAAGCCCATTAAATTGGCTTCTAGCGTCCAGTGGTTCTGTTGAGAAGTTTCTTGCCACTTTGAGCCTTACTCTTAGTCTGTGACTTGATTTGTCACTTGGAAATTTTTAAAGGTCTTCTCTTTATCCCTGTTGATCTAAACATTTTACCTGGTACTTTTCTACCTGCAGTGGGTGTTTGGAAATGTATGGAGACAATTTGGGAGCCACGGTGACTAGGAATGCTGAGAGAGGTTGCTTTGGCACTTAGTGCCTGGAGGTCGGAGGGGTTAATTTCCTTGTAATGCAGGAAACAGTCTCTCCCCAAGTGTCAGCAGTGTCCATGTTGAGAAGTATGGTGACCCTGGGGAAATACTAGTATAATCTTGACCTGCATATTGATAATGAGGTCTGACAAGAGAAATGAGACATGTATACCAAAAATCAATGAATGTGTTTGGATATAATGTTACAGACGTGCTGAGTGAAACAATGGCAGAAGAAAGTGTAAATGACATGGTGCAAATTGAAATAGAATAAAAGTCACTAGGTGAAATACTGCTATTAAATTATCTACGACTGTATATTTACCATATCACTGCTTTAGTTTCTAGCTGGACATTACCTGCACTCTTGTGCTAAATCATGTTTTTGACACCTTTTTTTCTATATTCCCAAGTAGTACCTGCTTTTAATTACTTTTATAGGTCAAGGAAATTATTAACTCTTTTCTATAGTAGGATATCATTTTGTTATCCAAACACTTAGTAATTCAAGATCCAAAAAGATTTGAGAAATACCAGTTTTGCAAAGGCTCGAGCTTGGCATGCCATTGTAGCTATCCTTCTCTAAGCTGAGGGGGTTCAGAAAGCAGTTGAGCAAGGGTTGCACTTGCACAGTTTCATAGCAGCTTCTGAGCTAGCAGTTTGCAGTTCTGTTCATTAATGTCGTGGGAAATGAATTACCAGGATTGCATATGCAGATAGCTATATTATAAGAATGCAAACATTCAGTAATAAAGACAAATTGCTTTTAAATTATCCACCATTTTTTCATGGTTCATATCATTGCTTTACTTAACGAGTGGGGCTAACTGAGGAGACTGTACGTAAGAAACACAGGCCTCCAGGAAGCAGAGGGGGATGAAGGTAATGAGGTGGAGAGACAGTGGGAAATGTGAAAATAGTAATTTGCTAATTTTGTAGTCATGCAATAATTTTTATGCATTTTGAAATATGAATGCAGAGTCATCATTTTAATATGCATCTGATATATTTCTGCTTTTCAGAACCTAAATCGCAGCCTCAGCAGCTTCATCAGGGACAACCCAGACTGTCGAATACTGAGCAAAATGGAATCAAAGATAATAATCAGCCCAGATACCTTCCTCGCAATGACACCAGACAGCCAAGAAATGAAAAACCTCCTCGTTTTCAAAGAGACGCCCAAAATTTAAAGTCCGTTTTCGAAGGCAGTGGATTACCTAGAAATAGAGGTTCTGAAAGACCGACCACGTCTTCAGGACCTGACATATGGGCTGAAGAGAGAATCAGGTGCGACAGACGGTATTTCAGATACGATAGAACTAAGGACACCTCATATCCTTTAAGCTCTCAGCATAATGATGGTGCTTTTAAAAAAAGGGACAACTCTATGCAAAGCAGATCAGGAAGAGGCCCCTCCTATGAAGAGGCAAAAGAAAACCCACTTCCTCAAGAATCCATAGATTATAGTACTCAAAAACGTGGGAGAAGAGAAAACCAAACAGCAAATCCCGATCACTTTTATGACAGGAAACCACGACCATTGAGTAATGAAGCTTTCGGTGGTGTAAGAATTGAGAAACATTTTAATGTAAATACTGATTACAAGAATCCTGTCCGAACAAATAGTTTCATCGGTATTCCAAATGGAGAGGCAGAGATGCCACCGAGGGGAAGGCGGGTAGGACCTATTAAGCCAGCAGGACCCGTCACAGCCACACCCTACGATGAGAAAATGCTTTACAGTGCTGGGCCCAAACGAAGATCGGGGCCAATTAAACCAGAAAAAGTGCTCGAATCATCTCTTCCTATGGAGTACGCAAAAGTGTGGAAACCTGGCGACGAATGTTTTGCACTGTATTGGGAAGATAATAAGGTATGCATGCTACAAAGGTATTATATACTAACATTACAAATTGTAACATTCCATTGAGACTATAGAAAGCCATTGTTTGGAACTGTGAGTTTTGTTCTACATTTGCACCTGTTTAAAGTCCTTGAACAGATTTGTAGATATACCATTTATAAAAGGAAAAACAAAATATTGTTTTTTTATGGATGCTTGGGGAGAATCAGTCCCATGGGATGTTGGTGAGGTTAGCTTTGATTCTAGCTTATATATCAGAATAGTATTGTGAAAATTATTAAGTGAAGTTGATATGTTATTTCACTTATCATCACCTGAACTGTTAATGCTAGCTTTTCTTTCTGGTAAGATTATACTGATTCACTGACAATTTCAAGGAACTGAAATTCAGGCTAGGGAATGTGGATGGATCTTTTGAAAGGATGCTGTAGGCGTGGAATCAGGAGCCAGGCCCCACTGTGTTCAGTGACTGAGGAGGCCGAGTAGTGTTAGGTGCTACCTGGTGATACCAGCAAAGGAGAGGTACCGGATGGTGCAGCTAGGCGGCAGTCTCTTCAGTTCTTTGTATACATGTGAGATAATACTTGTGTAGAAGCATCAACTCTATTGTCAAGTTTTATTAAAGGCTAAAAGGAGAGGTGAAGGCAGCGCTAGCTGTGTCTTTTCTTTTTTTCCAGAAAAGCAAAAGCCTTCCCAGAAATACCAACAAATAATCTCATTATTTGGAATGGTTTTACATGGCTGCTTCCTGGCTATTAGGGAGCTTGGAAAGCAAGTACAGGTGTTCTTTACTATTCAGACTCTTATTCTTGCAACTCAGACCACTCACTTTTCTAAAATACCAGATTGGATCTGGGTAGTGGGGGATTACTTATGTTCAGCTGTTTCTCCCTCATGGTAGAGGCAAGAAAGGGTGAAGTAGCTGGAAATCAGTGTTGGTCTGTAGTGTTATGTACGTTAGCGCAGACCTTGTGTCAGATGCTTCTGTGAAAGGCTGATTAAGATGAAGATGGAAAAATATGTTATCGTATTGGATAGCATGAGATTGTTGGTGACTTTGACGAGCACAGGAAGTAAGTGATTGGAGTTCAAGTCTTACAGTGTTTGAAAGCCTTCGTAAACAACTCAAGCTTTCCATTAAAATCCTACAAGGATTGTGCCCTAGTAGTAAGTACAAACTACTGCAAACAAGCTCTTACAAAGTCTAAAACCAGCCATTTACAGGATCAAGGATATCTGCTTGTGCTCGGTCTGCCTGACAAAAAGAAACCTAGTCCTCTTTTTGGGAAAAAGTAACATTTTCTAGAACCTCTTTAATTTTTTATCTGTAATGTCTGGCATCCTATAAAATTATGAGGCATGGTTAAAAATATGCAGAGGGTGCCCATAAAAATATATACACATTTTAAGAAAGGAAAACTATTAAAATTGTAATAATATATACCGATAACAAAAGATGAATACAAGTCACGTTTGACTTCTGCAAGTACAAGAGGTGCTCAAAGTGGTTCCCATCAGAGTCCAGACACTTCTGATTACTGAGAACTACTGCTTGAGCAACACTGACCAAAGTGTCCACTTGTGCACACTTTTTTGGCACCTTCAGTATATATAGAGAGCGAGCGAAAGAGAGAACATGAATGACCAGAAACAAATAAAGCAACAGAGAATAATAATAGATCTACAGATATCCAGATATTAGACTTAGCAGAAAAGTTCTTCAACAAATAGTGAATATTTAACAAAGCGTAATTAAGTAGCTGCTTCTGTGCTAAGTGTCAGGTGCTTGGAATTTGGAATATATCAGTTCTGGCTGTGCTATTACCCATAAGCCTTCAAATACCTGATGAGATTGTTAATAAAACTTTACTTTTAATTGTAATTATCTCAAAAACTCAATAATACTTAATTCATTTGTTGCCTCTACTGAATATATTCAAAGTAATGTCATATATCTTTTGAAAGACAGTACCTAATAATTCCCAAAATGTTATGAGCTTTTACAGTATTTTTGGAATAATTGGATGATTTTCCACGGTGACTACTCTGATTTTAACTGGGTGTATAATTTCATTTTAGAGTGAGGGGACTGTAGGCTCTATATAGATTATACCATTAAGCAAATAAGGTAAACAATATTCACCCTCTGGAAGAGGTGACATTAGTTATCTTCTGAAACCACCTAATTTAAGAAATAGCTTTCAAGTGTCATGTCAAAAATAGGCAACTTTCCAATTTTCTAGCCAGAGACCAGGGCAGAGATTTAAGAAAAGACATTGGCTGTAACTATCATTAAGAAATCAAAATCTTAATTGCATTACAGCAATGTTTTGGAGCTACCCAATCAGTATAATCTATGAGGTGTGATCACAAAATACCATAAATGTTTAAATTTAAAAAAATTATTACAGTAAAAGGCACATTGTCAGTAATCCCCCTCAAAATACACCCCCTCACTTTGAACACACTTATCCCATTGTTCTTCCCACTTTCTGAAGCAGTTCTGGAAGTCCTCTTTTGTGAGTGTCTTTAGTTGCGCTGTCGTGGCTGCCTTGATGTCCTGAATCATTCTGACTTTGGGGAAGAGCCAGAAGTCACACGGTGCCAGATCCGATGAATAAGGTGGATGACACACTGCAGTGTTTTTATTTGACAGAAATCGCCGTATACCAGAAGCGATGTGTGACACAGAGTGTTGCCATGGTAGAGGATGAAACCATCTGCCCATTTCATGTTAATGCATTGTTCGTGACCTATGATTTGTGGCACACTTTAAAACATGTCTTCTCTGAACCGTAGCTCACACCCAACTGACTGCACAGAACAAGTTGAAACTTGGCACACACTGTTACTAAGGTTTGATGTGCTGTCTCCCATATTGATGATCCCTGCTTTTCCATTGGATGGCACTCTACACACACCATAATTTTTTATCACACCTCGTATCATTTAAAAAATCGCTCACTACATCTTGCCTTCTTTCAAGCTTTATTTCCACTGAAGGATTTGAGAATTTGGGACAATTCTTCTTCCTCTAGACTGCCATAACTGGTTCAGCTCTTTCTGCCCTTTCCACTGAAACATTCTAACAACCTTCCAACTGGTCTCCTTACCTTAAGCCTTATTCTTCTTAAACTTGTCATTGAAACTGCCACTCCTGTGCTCCTGGACATAGACCATGTCATTCTTCCCAGTTGAAATATTTGACGTGTAAAATAAAAGAGATTCTGACATGCATGTGGAGAGCCTCTATCAGTTGGCTCTTACCTTCTTGCCCCGTCCACTCTCCTATTGATTGACCTTTCTTACATCATCTGTAATTAATTTTAATCTATTTGTAATTTTCCGCACTCGTCTTCATGTTTTATGCCTCTGTAACTTTTCCTGGAGCACCCTCCTCAGTTCATTACTTGGCTAAACCCCTTCACCCTTTGATGGCCATAACCCTTGTCATCTGCACCAGGAACCTCGTCTTGAACACCTTGGCCTCGTTAAAAGGCCGCATCACTACACTTACTGCAGTACTTCCCATCAGAAGTCATTTTTCACACGAGTTATCTTTATGAAAGTGTCAGTTCTGAAACGATGTCAACTTACTTGTTTTCCTAGGATGTATTCTGACTTGTTGTTTGTTGAACATACCTGAACTGACATAATTATCTGAGAAGTTTACAGTGAAAGCATAGGTCCAGAAATATAGCACTACACGGAACACAGAAGTGTGAGGCTAAAGAAATCAAAGAGGAAGGGAGAGGGTGAATGTATATCAAGAGCTCTAAGACAAGGAAAATTCCATCATGGTGTCTCTAAACTTCCTGGCATCCAGGCCTGGGAAGGAAACACGATGAATTAACTTAATAACCTTTGTAGTATGAAGTGTAATAATAGTTAATCAGTAAAAACAGTCTTTCCTGGTACATCCAGGGTAACTCATGTTTTAGAAGGATATGGAGAATAAGAATTTCTGTTGCTTTTAGCATTTTCTGATTCTGGTGAGCCTATTAAGAGATACTGTTCGAGTGTAGATGGTATTATAGTAGAGCATCCAGCGAACCTAGTTTGAAGAAAATATTCCTTAAGAGTACATAGTTTTTCATTTCTGTTCCGTATTCACTAAGCGGCATTCAGACCTATAATTTGGGTCTTCAATGAGTTGACCTATGATGTAGAAGGACTCTAATTAGTTGACCTACTACTCCTAGTTGCCTTAACAGATAAATTTTAGAATTGTAGTTGTTATGTAAATCACACTCAGTTCCTCCTGAGTTTGTTAATGCACATTACTTCCCAGAGCCAAGTAAAACTGGGTAAACTGATAAAGTAAAAGTGTCTGGTCTTGCAGTGTCTCAAATCCTATAAATCATGGATATGAGTAATGTGCTTGGTTACTCCTTACCTGACATCCCCGCTTGTCCCCACTTCACCCCAACTGGCTGTAATGATGGCAGCAATGAGCCTTTTTCTTTGAGATTTATTTTTGTCATATATTTCTGTTTTTTAAAAAATGCTCCATAGTTATATATCCTGATTAGTACATAAGAATTGCCTTACTAATGTTAGTCAGAGGGTTTCAATGGCTAATAACAAAATCTAACACTAGTTATTTTTACACCCCTTAATTAGCATGTGAATATTCTTCCCTTCTGACCCTCTTAGTTCTGTCCTGAAATCTTACTCCTGTTCAGTGTATGTCAGAACTCATGTAGATGAGATCATTTATCTTTTTTTAGCCAATTTATGATTATCCAAAGGTAAGTTTTCTTTCTTAAAAACATTATTCTCTTAAAAATGATTTTCTTTAAAGTATTGCATATTTGAAAGTTGCTAAGAGAGTAAATCTTAACAGTTTTTATCACAATAAAAAATTCTGTAACTGTGGTGATGGATGTTAACTAAACGTATTGTGGTATCATTTCACACATATACATACTATATCAAACTACTATGCTGCACACCTACAACTAATACAATGTCATGTCAATTAATATAATGTCAATTATATCTCAAAATTGGTTAATTTTGAAAAAGACATGAGCTTTCAAAATAAATTACACATTCGCTTTCCTCTCTGTATATCTGGAGACTGTCATGAAAGTCTTCATGTTCTAGTGTTGTGATTAGTGGGAGCTTTCTAGTAAGCCATGAGTCTTCTGGATTATTTTCTGAAGAAAAGTACCAGCTAAATGGCACAAAGCATGTTTGGTAGCTCCTTTTAAAATGAATAGGAAAGATTTTACTTTGTCTCTGGAAAGCCGTTATGATTTGCTAAATACTCTGACTTAATCAGTGGTCTGCTGAAAAGACCTTTGAGTAATCATAATACCATGACTTTAATTGTTCTCTGATGAAAATGTTGATGCACCCAGGGAAAAAGTACTGTTAAACTGGTAGGAGCTACAGCTTGAGAGTATCAGAAATAGTTATTATCATAAGGATTTTTGCAGATAGGTATGAGTTTGTTAAAGTTAGATTAAGGTATTTGAAGTAGTGGCTGAGTAAATTAGTTGTATTCTGTTGATATTAATGTCACAGCAAGCACCAAACTGGACAGTGATTTTTGGGGTATTAGGAAGCAATACTGTATATTAACTATTACGTGGTGTGAGCTTTTAGAAAAAGCTGTGGTAGTATGTTTCATCATTTTTAATGCAATTAGTGCATGTACCAAGTAGATAAGCATATCTGTATTCAGACATAGGAAGGAATAATCAGAAAAGGTATGCTTTAAATCTTACATAAGTTAATGCAAATCTAAGTGTGACCAAGTTATGTCATTACAGCAGATCTTACTGGTGCATTAAAAAAGCAGTTTTAGCTCTAGATTTTGGAGGATTTCCTGGGTAACTCTTAAGTTCTGGGTTTCACGTTCAGTGTAGTTAGCTAAATTTAAGGTTTTTAAGTTTGTTTCTATGTTACCCACTAGGATTGGCATACATGTTCATATGTGGAATAGTTGACCCTCACTTTTCAACCAAGTGTAAACTTTATGCTGATGAACCTGCCTTTTGTTTTATTAGGTGCCTGCAACTTTCTTCTAATTGTACTTGTTGGGCTATCAAATTTACAATGCTCTTGGCCTTGTTTTGTTCCTGTTTTGCTATCTTGATCATAAACCTAGGCCAAGTACCAGTGTTGGCTATTGCACAGGATTCTGTTTGTTTTTTCAATATAAGACCCTAGGGAACAAACGGGATATTTTCATTTTAAGTTATGTTGTCAAAGTCTGTAGGTGCAGTGTCCTTAGGGCAGTGAATCCTGAAAGTTCATGATTACGTGGCAAGTTGACATTGAGATTGTCCTTTCCCTGATCAAAAATGAATAAAGACTTTTTAAACAAATTACACATTCTAACACTCTGATAATTTACCTTTCCATCAAATGTTGCCCTTTGTAGACAATTTTGATCGTCACATTTCAAACTCCTTCTTGTCTCCCCAGTTTTACCGAGCGGAAGTTGAAGCTCTCCATTCTTCAGGTATGACAGCAGTTGTTAAATTCATTGATTATGGAAACTATGAAGAGGTGCTACTAAGCAACATCAGGCCCATTCAGACAGAGGCATGGGTACGTGATCCAAATTCTGTACTCAGGCATAAGCTATTCTGAAGAAATGCATAGCTCTAGAAGATTAGTCACAATAATACAAAATTGGCCAGTGGAAAAATATTTTAAATTTGCTTAAACCTGGCTACCCCTAGAGCAAGATTTTTAGTTTAATAATTCCACTGAACTGCAATAAAAGTGAAAGCACTGGAATTATTTTTCTTGTATAATGCTTTGTTTTATTATGCTTTGGAAATAGGTGCCCTTATTTATATGTTTGCCAAAAATTTGTATGTGTAAAATAAGCTTTTATGCATATTTTGTTCTTTCCCAGTTTGTTACTTTATATTTGACCTAATTATGTCCAGCAGTTGTCAAATTTAAATCTCTGTTGGATACATGTATATTCTTTATTATTTTAGTTTCATGTAAAATTAAAAAAAACACTAAATTATATATGAATTCATGCTGCATTTACTACACATATATTTATATATGTATAAGTACAGATGAACTATAAATATCTCGTTAATAATTATTTGATGACTTTTATTGCCAAATGTTATGTCAAAGCTGTGTGATAATTTTGATGATGTAATTCAGAATGTATTGGCCTTATGGGGTCCATTTTATACAGGACTTAATGTGACTTTATAGAGACTGATTCTCACCTACATTTAGGCAAAAACAGGAGGACAAGGCTTATTAGAATTAGTTTAATAACTTTTTTAAAAATTTCCTTTCTCCAGTTTGTGGGGAGCTGTTAAGAAACATATTTAGCAGCCTAATTTGTTGCTATTTCCCTAAAATATCAAAATATACTAGAAAATTATATCATCCAGATGTAGCCTTCATCACTGAAGTGTATGTTGCTTTCCCATGAGCTGCTTTTATTTTATTTTAGTTTTGGTCTTTTTACATTTTTCTGTATTGACCTCAGTGTCATGTTCCCTGGGTTCTCCTCCCAAAAGGGTAAATAAAACAGCAACCAAAAACCTGGTAGCCATAATCATGTTTTGGGCCCTGGATCTTGATTCTTTACATTTTTATTCTAGAAAAACTTATTTTCTAGATAATTTGTCATTTCATATTTATAATGTTACTAATGGTTCATATGTTTCATTTAGAGTTCCTTTCTCTCACTGTCATCCTCTAAAGTTTAGCTACTTTTTCCCTAAAAGACTGAAATACCATCAATACTTAATTTATGTCTTTCTTTTCTTGGAGAAACTTGTTGTACCCATATTTTTGCCCTTTTGATTTTCATATGATGGCTGTTTGCATCTTTGTTTCCATTAATCCATCTTAATCTAGTTTTGATGGTGAAAATAATTATTGATTGATAATTATTTCTAGAAGTTGAGTCCTGGTTTGCTGTTCATCATGTGCTCCCAAATGTTTTCAGTCGTTACAGTCAAAGATTAAAATAGTTTTTTATGTTTAGTTTTCTTTCAATTTTTTAGAGACTTAATAAGAGATTAATTTTATTCCTTTCTCCCTAAAGAGAAAATGAGTTTTCTTACTTCATTTCTTCTCTACTTCCTTTTTCTGTTCCAGGGTGGCCATAACTGATGAGCACATTGTCATTCCTCACTGTAGCTCCTCCAGTCAGAGGTGTTGGGTATTGAAGTGATAATTTTCTTTCCACAGTCAGTGACTTTTCCTTTTTCCCCTTTAATAGTCCTCATTGCTTTTTCATTGATTTTAGGTCTATATTATCTTAACTGGACAATAACTTTATCAAATGTCACAGCCCATGTAGTGATTCCATTCTGAACCACAGCAATATGCTTTTATACTCTTCCCACCCCTTTGTGAATACTCATCTATGCTTTATTGTGCTGTGTTTTTTTTTTAACCTATTTATTTTCCTGCAGTCAATTTAAAAATCTTTTTTATAAAATGCTTGAAATATTTTTCAGGAAGAAGCAGGATAGAATCACTAAATCTTTTGGAGATTCTGGTATTTCTTTTCTCCTGCTTACAAATAATCAAGTGATTGTTGATATTTTCTGATTTTGCATAAATTAATATACCAAATATTTTTGGATCATGAACATCATTTTCTTCTTTATCTGCATGCATAATTGACTTAGTTATAGAAGCATTTCCTCCTTCTTCAGATATTGAAGCCACCAGCTTAACATATCTTTAACCCATCTCCATTTAAAAAAATACATATGTGCATCTATTCATAAAAAGCCCCTGAAGAAAAACAGTCTATGTGGCTGTCAGTATATTTAATGTAGAGTTAGTGTAGAGTTTTCTTAGCCTGTAAGAATATTAATGTTGAGGTGTATGAGCACTTTTATCTTTTTGTAACTGGGGAATTGTGACAAGTTTTAAGTTAATCAAAAGCAAAGCGTTCACTATACCAATAAGATGGTCACTCTAATTGATAGGTTGTACTAGAAAAATTAAAGGGCTGCAAAGTTGCGATGAAATTATTAGAAGCCTTAGCACAATTATTTGCTCACACTATGGATTGTGTAATTTTTAATTTTTTTAACTCTTGCACTACATATGTGCATTATGATTTTTAATTGTGAAATGATATTGTATCTTTTATTAAGGTTTATGTTTGTTATTGGCACAAGGTTTTGAAAAACCTCTTGTTTTCTAAATGCAGCGATGATCATGTACTGACGATTTTTTTAATAGTTTGCAGGAAAAACAACCCAAAAAGCCTGTGTATAAACTAAATGCCTTTATAGAAATCAGTTGCCTGTATTGTCTCTTAAAGGTGGAAGGATAAAATCATTAAATAAAAAGCATGAAATATTAAGAGACTCAGTGACTTAGTTAATAGTCTCTTGTATGGAAAATAAAAATAAAAATCTAGCTAATAGTTTAAATCCAAATGTTAATATTTTTCTCTTGAAGTTTAGGAATTACTTGCCTTAAGTCTGTCTGTAGACCAAATATCTATTTTCTCTTTCTATCTGGATACGCCTTTTTATTTTCAGAACATACTCAGTGATGATATTTTAGATGGCAAAAATTTATGTTCTGATTATAATTAAATACTTTATTTCCTCTAAAATTATTTACTGAGCTTTTTGGTAAGTCTTCCTCGATTTTTGTTTGCTCTGCCTAGATTTCACCTGATTCTTTCAGTTCTCATAAAATATTCTGCCTTAGTTTTAGTGTCTTTATTATACTGATCTCTCTGTTACACATAATGTGGGGTTCACAGCTCATTCTTAACTGGATAAGTACTCTAATATTTTCTTCCATGTCCTTTGAACATTGTAGAATTCTCCTTAGTATTTTATTAAAGTAAATGAAGCATTAGGAATCTCATTTTATGTGTAAAATTATATGTAGAGAAAACCCCATACTATGTATTATTTTATATTTCTGACCACTGTATGAAAAAACATTAAGGGCAAAGAAACCTGCTGTTTATGTTCCCTGCAAGGCTTTTCCAAATTGGTCCTTTTAATTCTAAAACTAATACCAGCAAACCAGTAAAAAGATGCCACAGGCAATTTGGAATGACTGTAAAATACCCGGGCACTGCTGCTCAGACAAATCTTTTGTGTGTTTGGCGTATTGTTGCTTCTGAATTGCTTTTCTAAACCAGTAAAAAACACTGTCAAGTCCTGATTTTCCGAGTATATTTATGACCTGAATTCCACTGAAGCTTTTAGGTCCTAAGAAATGGTTTAGAACATGCTAGTTTCTAAACTTTCTTTTTAAAAGTTCATAGCATTTACTTCTTGCTATCAGGAAATGACCATTGTTTGACTATTGTGTCAACTAGAAAAATTATTGTTGTGTAGATAATTTTTGGTTGTAAGACCTCAATATTACACATCATCTAACAGCTATTCTCGAAAGTGACAAATGATCATTATTGTCTTTTAGGTGATTATCCTCTGTCTTAATTGTTTTTCTGTAAAGCATTCATTTATTCAACAAATATTCATTACTCATCTATTAGGTGCCATCATTGTTCGGGGGGGAGGTACTTATTTATGGAAACCGCACAAAATTCCTGCCCACTGCACAAAGTTAGGAGAAAGTTTTAGTTCCAGTTATGTGAAACAAACATAAATATCTCATGACAGCCTTTATTCTTACTTCTTGAAGCTTTAAAACAAAATACAAATGGTGATAATCTTGTTTACTGAAGTTTTAATTTAAATAATATTTAGGTCTTTATTCCACTTTAGTTTGAAGATAAAATTAATGTAGAACAAGAAAGTATAACTTAATGAAGAAGAAAGTATGACTGAATGAATTTTATCTGTTTAAAAAGTTCTTATCTATTTTATTTTATCTTAATATTTAAAAGTAAATTTATCTTTAGGAGATTTTGGGTTCTGTTTTTTTAAATAATTATAATATATATTTCAGCTTTAGCATACATTAAGGAAAGAACTATCAATCTCAAGTTTTACTTTTGAAGAAACTTTGTATAAAATTTATTTTATAATGACATCCTAGGAGGTTATTGGGAAGTTACCTTTTCAAGTTCAAATAATGTTCCTGAAAAGCCATAAATTATTCTACCACTAATAAAAATATTAAAAAGAATCATATAAGCCCACACCCCAGAAAAACCTAACCTATTTAATGAGGAAGGAGATTGAGAGTTGTGATATGGAAAATAATGTGTTAAAATGGATCCTAAATGTATTAGAACAAGGTCATGTTAATAATTTTCATGACATAGTGATAAAATTAGGCTGTATCTAGTTTGTATTTAATATCAAAAGATCATAGTAAATAGTAAAAAGAGGATAATTATTATAGAAACTATAAAGTTAACAGGAAAATTGGAATTATATAACAGTGAGATTCTGCCAGTTAGTATCCAGTAAAAAGTACAAGCACCTATTTGATAATCATCTAGAAGGTTTTTCATTCTTGCTGATAAAGTCTTAAATATATTAGTAGGTATAATTTACCATATTTAAATTTGCACTGAAACCTAACTTGTTTAAGGTCACTGAAATACATTTTCTCCCACCATGTATATGTTGGGAAACGTCCCTTTTTCAAGATGGCCATAT